AGATACTTGAGGGCAAGGAAGTATTCTCCCCTACAGGTTTCAGAGGGAGCATGGTCCTGCCAGCACCTTGATGTTGGACTCCCAGTCTCTAGAACTGTCTGACGATAAAGTTCTGACATTTTAAGACACCTAATTTGTGGTGTTTTGTCACAGAAGCCATAGGATGTGGGCAGCATGCTAAAGATGCTCTTTGCCCCTCGTGCCCGTGCTTCTCCAGGCTGGATGTCTAGAAGTGGATCTGCTGGGTCATAACAAATGTCCAGTTTTCATCTTAACAGCTACTCCACACTGCCCTCCAGAGTGGCTCTATCTATTATGCTCCTACCAGCAGTGCACGAGAGCACTTATATTCCTTATGCCCTGGCCAACGCTTGACATTAACAGACACGTAAAAAATTTTTTCCATCTGATGGGCAAAAAAGAAGTATTTTAAAAAATTGTATTCTCTGGTTACTAGTGAGGTTGAATTTTTTTTTCTCATATGTTAATTTTCCATTTGAATTTTTTCTTCTGTAAATTTTCTTTTTATGACCTTTGATCATTTTTCTATCGTGTTATTTGTTTTATTCCTACTAGTTCAGAATAGTTCTTTATGCAGGAGATGATCTTATTCTTTATAAACCATTCCTAGTTTAGGAAGAGGTTTTAAATATCAAGAATGTTTGTTGGCTTTAATTGGTTCTCTTTTCAGCTTCTACTGAGATGATCAAATGATATTTATTTGACCTACTGATATGTGGCACCTGTAATTATAAGAACTTTAAGAAGCAGAGCAGTTAGGTATTTTATGGACAAGAGGAATGATGCCAACGTGGGGGCTTTTCAAAACATGTTTAGAGGGCTGCCTGCTTAGAACAGAGGGTGTGTCTAAGGAAGTGTGATGGTCAGCTTTGGAAAACGGTGTGAAGCCTTTGTGAAACCTTGTAAGGGAGTAAAGAGTTTAAGCTTTAAACTACAGGCAAGATGAAATTACTGCAGAATTCTTGGTAAAGGATAACTGTAGAATATAAGAGGATTAACCTGGTGGTGTGGTAGAAGAAGAAAATAAAGCAAGGAGAGGAGTTGGATGCGCAGGGGTGAGATGATAATGCTCTAATGACCCTAATGAGGAAGAAAAGAAGGAGAGTCCCTAAAAAACCAGTGTGGCTCTGTGATGAGTTGAGATGTAGAAAGAATCATAAATACCAGCATATTACACTTAGGGGACAGACAGGAGGCCTAAAGTAGAAATAACTCTTGGGTTTCGATTAATGTCCCAGTTGTGCAACATTAGTTAGGAAAACAGGAATAAGAATACATAGGGGGGCTTTTCTCTGAGCAAATGATGGCACGTTGATAGATGGCAAAGAGAAAACACACATCAGTTTTTATTTTGCTTCTAATAGACAATGTCAAGGAGAGTGATTTCCAACTAAAGGTAGGTTGTAAGGTAGAACAAATATGCTGTCTGAAGACAGTTCCCAGTGGGTAAAGAGATTGTAGGAAAGCATGTATCTGCTCTGGGTGAACTATGCCCCAGGAAACAGAGAGAACTTTTTTTTTTTTTTTTAAGGATTTCATTTATTTATTTGACAGACAGAGATTACAAGTAGGCAGAGAGGCAGGCAGAGAGAGGAGGAAGCAGGCTCTTCGCCGAGCAGAGAGCAGAGAGCCCGACGTGGGGCTCGATCCCAGGACCCTGGGACCATGACCCAAGCAGAAGGCAGAGGCCTCAACCCACTGAGCCACCCAGGCGCCCCCAGAGAGAACTTTTAATGATCTCTCTGCATCTTTGTTGTTGGCCTTGGAGAAAGCTTGGAGAATATGAACATCGGTTAGAGAGAAAGTAGGGGAGGTTGTGTGTGAGCAAATGAAATTCCAAATTTCAAAAATGTGGATTTCAGAAATGCAAACCAATGACTTTAATGTCATTTTGGGGCAAGATCCTAGGGTAACATTCAGAAGGGATGAGTTGTGGAAGAGGTCCTAGAAGAGAAAGTAGGATTATTAGAACTTTATATAGGATTATTAGAACTTTCATGTGAAAAACATGACTGACTGTGTGATAGTGTTTTTAAATTTTTTTTTTTTTTTATTGGTTACTTGACTGTTAGATTAAGGAGTCACAGGACTGCAGAGGAGGACCATGGGATGAGGGGCAAGGCACATCCTTGGAAGCAGGCCTAAGGCACAGGCCCAGAGAAAAAGGTTAAAAAGGAAGAAGGGATGAAATAATGGAAGAGGGAAGACAGGGATACAATGAAAAGGTTCCTTCATTGCCAAGTGGGTAACTGTCTGGGCTTCTAGGGGTCTCCCAGGCCCCTCCTGTAGCTGGTTCTCAGGGAAGGGCAGAGCTGGGAATCAGGAGAAGGGGGGGGTGTGGGCTCTAATGCTGGGTGTGCCCCAACTTGCCCAGTGACCTTGTAGGTATCATTTCACCTTTCTGCCTCCTCCCTATAGTCAAACAGACATCCTGTTAGCCTAAAAGTGCTTCTGGGCTTTACAGAATAAAATAGCTCCAGAGATTTCAGACATGGTCTGCATGTGCAAAGTGTTTGCTCTTGTTGCCACATTTTCACGGTTGGGGGAGAGAGGGAAGTGGTGGGAGGAGGGTAGAAAGCAGGGTGAGAAGACACTGTGGCTAAGTTCCTTGGCTCCACCTCGCCATCCTAGGGAACCCAGGGGACCAGGCGCTGGCAAACGGCACATGCCCACAGCCTCTTCACTAGCCGGGCACCCAAGAACCTAGCGGACATCCTCAGGCTCTGCTATTCCTTTCAGCAAATCCCATTGCCGCATCCAGGGACGGAAAGCGAGGCACGCCCCTCCCCCCACTAGATGGCACTGAAACGCCTCGTTCCAGATTTTCAAACTGCAGGGAGGATGAAAAAAGACAAAAAGAATATGGTGGAGGTGCGCTCTTTCTGGCTCGCAGGCCCCGTTGTGCAAAGCAGGGTGCCGGACCCTCTTTTTCCCCGGGGTAGCTCTTTTCCCCGCAGTGCGGGCCCCCGGCTTTGGAGTGCGGGTGCAAATGAGGGAGAGCATTACAGAGAAAAACCCAGGCTTTCAACCTGGGAGGGAGGCTCCCAGCCTTTGCGGCGCTGTCTCACGTGAGCCAGGAGGCTGGGGGGGGGGTGCGTTTCTGGGATGAAGTGGGGCTCGCTTGCGGCCCACCCGCTGAAGGTCTGGGGTGCCTCACTGCCTCCCAGAGCCCTGCTGAGCCTAAATCCAGCCGCCACCCAGATGAGGACAGATACGGCGCCGAGGTTTCACATAACCACTTGCCCTTCTCAAAGAGCGAGCCCCCGGGCGTTTTCAAAATATCCATTAAGCCCCCCCCCCCCCTAACATTCTCTTCCTCTGGCCTTGAAAGGATCAATCAATTTCCTTTTTTTTCCCCTTTCCTGCTGGGGAGGGAGGGAGGTGGAGGCAGGTGGAGGTGGGTGTGTGTCGGGGTGTCTGGCGCTGGTGTGGGGCTAGACTGGGGTTGGCCGTGGCAACCCCGCCGACGTGCTCGGCCCCAGGGGGAAACGCCTGTAGCTAGCAAGGTAGCGCCTGTAGCTTTCTGGGAGAAAACAAAGATCAGATGTGATCCAAGACACCGGCGACCAAAACTGGGGACGCAGGGAACTTCCTCAGCCCCTCAGGATGCCGACTCCGCAATAAGCAGTCTTTAAAGAACTATGGTCGATTTGAGGGAATTTTCCACCACTGAAAAGAGATAAATAGGAGAAGGACGCAACATCCCTAAATTTATAATAATGCTTGTAAACATGCTACATACCACATATATGTATATGTGCATAAATATGGATGTGGTTGGGCACATACCTATCTAGACACCATTGACTTGCCTGGTCAAAGACTAAAGCTTAGACATTTCGTGCCTGGGAAATGGTGCAGTTTATCTTTAAGGATGCTAGAAAAATAAGAGATGAGGCTCACGTTGCACGGATGACATCACTAGCTTTTGGCTGCGCGCTCCGTGTTCTCGTCTGTGGGTTTTAGCCAAGGCTGCAGCGCCCGGCGCCTGAGCGAGCGAGCGCGGCGGCGGCTTCCTCCGGCGCTCGCAGCCGGGCGTTTCGATTTCCCGAGCACCCCGGGCGCAGCCTGGGCTCCGGCTCCCCAGCATCGGCCGGGCCCGCGAGGCCCCGGAGCCGCCGCGGCTAGAGGAGGAGGCAGGGAGGGGAAGCTCAGCGACCCAGCCTCCCTCCCCCACCCTCGCCCCATTCACCTCGGCGGGCACCGGCGCGCCAGGAGCCTGATCGTGGGACGCCGAGACCGGGACGGGATTCTCTGCACGCTGCCGAGTGAGCCGGCGCCTCGGCTCCTGGGTGGGCTGCGAAGAAAATGGTGCAGTCTGAGAGCGGCTGACCCCAGTTGGGTAGAGCAGACAGCTACAGTGCCGGGCTCGGGTGGCGGGAGAAGGGGGCGGATTGTTTTGAAGGGCCGGGGCCGCTGTTTTCCTCGGTGCCTGCAGCATTTTCTTTGCACCTGGGCAGCACGTTCCCGGGGCTACTTGGGAGCCAGATGAAGTGAGGCAGAGGCGTCGCGGGAGAGGCGGGTCTGGAACCTGCCGGGTGGATACTCAGGAAGAAGAGGGCGCTGGGGAGATCGGCATGACGCCCGGGGACTGGCTGCCCAGCTGGCGGTGAGCCCCGATCGCGCGACCTGTCCATGGTGTTGAAGGCACCGCGAGCGGAGCTCCGCGCGCCCCGCGCCGTGCGTCCTGCCGGGTGCACCCTCCTCTGCGCAGCCAGCCCCTCGCGCCCGCCAGCTGCCGCCCAGTCGTCCCCATCCCGGGCCAAGGCTCGTCCGGTAACGCCGTCCGAGTGACCGCACCGTCGGCCCGAGGGGCCTCCTGAATGGCGAGGCCAGACGCAGACGACCCGGGAGCCCGCGGGGAGAGGTCGGCAGCGACCGTGTGCCCACGGGCAGCCCGCCTTTGAGCACAGCGCGCTGGCCAGACAGAACAAGGGACCTGCTGGTGACCAGAGGACGGAGATTTTAAAGAGAGGAAGAACATTTCTTCGCTTGCAGACCGGAAGGGGGAAGAGTCGCTGAGTGGGAGACCCAGGCGGGACTTAGGGCAGCCGGCCCTAGCATCTGGAGATTTCCTTCGCTGGCCGGCCGCCTCGCGGGTGCTGGGGTTCATCCGGTCGTCGCGCAGCTCCTCGTGATAGCCTCCATCCCCTCACCCCAAGATAAAGCCAGGCGAGTGGGTCCCGTCGCTACCCTGCACAAAGAAAGCCCGGCAGCCCCACGGCAGCCGAGGGCACTTGGTGTTTAGTTTCTGGCCCCAGGGCAGCGGCACCCGAAGCCCGGCTGCGCGCCGACGCGGCCGGTTCGGGGCAGTCGCTTCCTGCGGGGCAGGGAGGGGGCGGGAGGCAGTCTTGTCCGCTCGCCGCCGCCCGAAGCTGCACCTGCCCCGGAGGATGCCCAGGAGCCCGCCCGAGCCTCCCCGGATCAGAACTTTTTAGGCTGCTCGCCCCCATCCCTGCAGTCCCCGGGCCGCGCACCGGCAGGCGGGGGCGAGGGGGCGCCGCCGCGCGAGTCCCCCTCCGGTCCCCCTCCCCCTTGGCTCGGCCGCCCGCCGCTTTGTTCCGGGCGCGCGGAGGGAAGGCGAGGCTGCGGCGGATCATGCCCATGGTGTAGCCGCCAAGCGGAGGCATGGCTGCCGGAAGGTTACTGCTCTATACGGGCCTTTCGCTAGCGCTCTGCGCCCTCGGCATGCTAGCCGTGGCCATCTGCTCGGACCACTGGTACGAGACGGACGCCAGGAAGCACAGGGACAGGTGCAAGGCCTTCAACACCCGCCGGGTCGACCCCGGATTCATTTACAACAACAACAACAACTTGCCGCTCCGGGCGAGCCGCTCGCGCCTGGACCGCTGGGAGGGCAAACTCCTCCGGGCCCGGAACCGCCGGCAGCTCTTCGCCATGAGCCCGGTGGACGAGTGCAGCCGGCAGTACAACTCCACCAACATGGGTCTCTGGAGGAAGTGCCACCGGCAGGGCTTCGACCCCGAGATCGCAGCCCTTATTCGGAAAGGTAAGCGCGAGGCGCGAGGCGTGGCGCTGAGGAGAGCCCGGCGCCTCCTAGGCCCGGTCACACTCTCCCTTCGCCTGGCCACAGTCTCCCGGGCCTCCTGCTTCCAGGAGCTCAGGTTATCCAGGCCCCGCTGAGCTTCGGAGTGGCCAGAAGTTGCCTCCCGGTATCTGGTAATGGAGGCTTACCTTTCTCTGGCCGGCCTCTGGTCTTGCGTTGGTCCGCTGGGATTCCCGTGGGATATCGTGGGCCAGGGATTTTAATCCGGGCTAATGCTTCATCAGTCTCAGAACGGAGGGAATCCCTCATGTTGTGTTGTTTGCAGAGGAAGCTCCAAATTGGAGAATGATATGTCAGGCAGACAGCCTCCTAGTTTTAATCTTGGTTTTGGATGTTGAACTGATTCAGGGGAAGCATCTCACCGAGAAGGCCTTACTCACACCACAGACATTTATTTGCTAAGCGCTAGACTGTATGGAGCTACGGAGCACCGTGCAGGCATTGGTCCCATAAACATAGTAAATCACAGCCTCGGCCCCATTGCAGCTGCAGGCCTGGGTACCAAGAGCATCATACCACAATTCTTGAATTCTCCTTCTGGGGAGGTAGTTGACAAAAGTGACTTGTGTGCATCAAATTTTAACAGGGCCTAATAAACACATAAAAAGTAGTTTCTCAGGTAACACCAAAGTGGGCACTTAAGAGGAAAAAAAATGACCATGTTCAGAAGATTTGTATCAAAAATACGTAAAGTATTACAAAACAGAAAACAGACTGCATTTGCTAATGATGAAAATTTTTCGGATACTTGAGTGTGATCACATAATTTTTAAAAAGTCTCCTCACCTGATGCAATTTGTAAGATCTTGGCTGATTTAGACTTTGGGGACTACCCTGTTCTGTTAATCCACTGAAATATTGTTTGGATGTATATTAATATTGCTCTGGAGAAAGGAATGCGTTCTCTTCTATGGTAGTTGCATTCTGGAAGCTATGGTGTGATTTTCTGGGTCTTGTTTCCCTCCCCCCCTTGCTGTGTTTCAGTCTCCTCAACTATTCAGTGGCGAAGCCAGGGTGAAAATGATGTTGTTATCTGCAAAGTCTCTGAGGCCCTGATGGAAAACACTTCTTACTGTCCCTTAATATTATAATGCAGATTTGCTGCTGTTTTAAAATATTATTTGTGAGAACTGATGTCCTTTGATTTAGAAAAATGTTGAAATTGATCAGAAAATATAGTTAATTTGAAAAAAAAAAAGTCAATTGTTTAGGAATGACAAGCAGTGGGTATGGTCTCGGTGGCTAGTCAGATGTAGGTGAGCTAAGTCCAGAAGGAGAATCCATCTTCATTTTTGTTTTGCAGTTTCTGTGGAATGACTAGGGATTTTAGCTCATTCCATTGTGAGTGTGTTATTACTACAAACATCACAACTGCTTCATGGTTAGGCTGATGTTAGAGCAGGGTGACCCATTTGGAGCTCTACAACTTTGTAAAGACGTGCAGGATATTAGAGCATTCCAGAAGAGAGTAACTTGGTTTGGATTTGGAAGTAGGAAAGCAAGAGAAAACAGAATCGTTTGACAGTGGGTGACTGTAACAGTGTTCAGATTCACAGATTCATGAAGTGTTCTGTCCTTTCTTGTTCTCCACATTCATTAAAATTGACATGGTAGGAAGTTAGCTGAAATGAGAGGAAGAATTCATGTTAATAATGACTGATAAACAGTGGTAGGACTTGCTAAAGGACATTCTTGCATTTCCTTTTTTAAATGTCTCTTGCAACAAGATGGGTTGGGTATCCTGCTGTCTGGCATTGGTTCACTCCACTCAGAAAAAGGGGGGTGGAATCCCTGCCTTCTGGTGGTTCCATTGAGGGCTTTGATTCCATGTTGCTTTGCCCGGCAATCTGGCTAGAAGGGTTGACTTGGTCTGTGCACCAGAGATGTTCGTTACCATAGTGACATGTTCTTCCGGTGAAGCTGGAAACAGAGACAGGGAAAGGGATAGGGGAAGAGTGTACAACATTTTGACTTTGTATCGACTGATTGTTAATTGCAGCAACAGAAAATGGACACGGCTCAGCAGGGGGATTGAATACACTGATACCCAGTGTTGGCAGAACCTTGTATTTCACTTGAACTAATGGAAACGCTCTTCCCCATCACCCAAAATACAGCAATCACTGTCAGCTGCAAACAACCGCTTACCACGGCCGTTTCTGTCCGTTTGACATTCTTGTTAGATATTATTGAGATAGATGGCATGCCAGCCTTACAAATCTCGGGGGACTTAAGGTCACTATCTTCATTTTTAACTTCAAAACATAATCTGTTAAAGCTAGATCTTTTCTTTTCTAAGCAACAAGAGACACATTTTGGAAATAAGTGCATCTTATATTAGTAGAATTCACAAGCAATTCCATTAACATAGAACATCATTTCTAGACTTAATCAGCGTTCTTCCTAGATTGGCAGATTTAGGAAGGAAGTAAAAAAAAGAAATTGATATCCTTGTATTTAAATTTAAGGCAGGCAACTTAGGGAAAGATACTTATCTCGTAGTATTCATTAGTAGCCTCAAAAGATTTGTTAGTCCTTTGTCTTTCAGGGAAACATCTTAGATCCAAATTCTGGGAGATACATGTTGGGTAAGGGGAAAGGGAAACCAGAGAAAAGACTGTGTAAAATCTGTCAGTATTATGGGAAAACTAGAGATTTATCTAAATGATTATACAGCCCCATGTAACTCAATCATTTGCTAATCAATGTTCATTACATTAGAAAGTGCTATTTGTGCATTTTTAAAATAAAACAAAACCACATAATTAATAAGAAAACAAAAGTCAAATCTATATCTGATTTGAAGATGAAGTCCTTTGGATGCATGTTCTCTCTGAAATCCATTTCTTCAATGCCTGCTGCCATGATTGTACCAAAAAATACGCATTTCTGGTCACTGTGTATTTATTTGTTTGTCTTATTGAACGTAAGTTCCTGAAGGGCAGGAAAGAAAATCATTTGTAAAACATATTCACCAGAATGTATTTTGGTCCTTGAGAACTATCTCATACAAATAAGGTTCACGGAATTGTATCCATCAAAAGCTTATTCTAATTGTAGGAACACTTGTGTGGGAATCCAAATAAAGGATTAGTTAGAAAATTGTGATAAAAAAAAAAAATGAACCAGGCTGGCTCCCAGGGCAGATTAATATTGCAGCAGATGCTACATATTTAACAAGGAAGTTCTTTTGAGCCCAGAAGTTTTGCTAAGGAATAAGGGAAACAATACTTTTTTTTTTTTAGATAGTGTATTTTACTGAACAGACACGTATCCCCCACAATCATTATTTTTCATATTAGATAAGATTTTGATGATTTCCTTCTTAGAGGTAGGATTGGGTTGAGGGTGTAGCAAGGATAGATCACCCTTGAATTCCCATATGACTGTGTCCATAATCGAGTCCTCTTGTCTTCTTGCTTTCCGACCGTGTCAGTTCTCTCTACTAAGTCACTGCAAGCGTGGTGGTGGTGGTGTGGGGAGCGGGGGGAGACAGATCCATGACAGGATCAGTTTCTGAAATCCAAGAGACTTTCAGACCCTTAGGAGGAGCAGCTACAAGTAGGATTTTGTTCCAGGGAACATTTATATTCTTTGATTTGTTCTGAAATGTTATACTGCTGTGGCTTAAAATAAAGAGACCTTCAACTGAGACTCTAAAAACTTTTTTTACTATTTGAAAATAGGCCTTATAAGAGAATTTGATCTTTATAATCAGGGAGTGGTTGTTGGTATACTGAGGCTTAATTTAACAAAGCATCACATATAGTGATAGGTGATAGTGATAGGATACTGCGCTCAGCAGTTAGGTACTGTACATATATTATGTGATGGGCACACATCACAAGAACTCGGTGATGAATAAGACCTGGTCCTTAAAATACCCCCAGTCTGTTAGGGTCACGGGGAATATGTGCCAGCTATGGGGTGATGAGAGCAGCAGAAAAAGATGCAGAGAAGCATGGAGCAGGCAGTGATGGATGGTGTTGGCAGTGCCGTGAGAGAGCCAGGAGGGGGTTGGGGACAGTTACCCGGAGGAAGTGAAATCTGAACACAGTTTTCATGAAGTTGGGAGGTGGATGGCGAGGAAAGGGCATTTGAGGCCACGAGGGCAGCATCTGCATAGGCATGGAGGTGTGAAACAGCAGTCCAGCCTTTTGAGTGTTGACTGCTGGAGGGAGGGAGAGGAGCCGAGCGTGGAGCTGGAGAGCAAGGAAGAGCCAAGGCCAGGGGCTTGCATACTCAGTAGGTAGCCACTAGCCACAAGTGGCTATTTAAATCTTTAAAATAACCAGTATTCAATGAAATTAAAAATTCATTTCCTTAGTGGTGTTGGCCACATGCAAACATTCAAGAGCCTTGTATTGCTAGTGGCCATCGTATTGGACAGTGCAGATGAGAGAACGTTCCTATCATCATGGAAGGCTCCATTGGACAGTGCTGCACGGAGCCTAGAGCCTCTGAAAAGAACAAGCACATACTTCGTTTCGGGTGAGGATGATCAAACATGATAACTGGAGCTTAGATTTAAGTATATCGTTCTATCCTTGAACAAACTTTGCTACTTGAATGTTTTGGGCAGAAGGTTTGAGTTCGTGATCAGTTACACTAAATCTATATTTTATGCATGTTCCATCTTTGACTCACAGAATTCTCACATGCTCCTCTGTTCTCTCCTCTCCCTCTCTCAACTCCATTAAAAGAAACAAGTTGTCAATCAGGCAGGGAGGATTAATAATAGTAATTGGAGACTTGCTGCCAGGTACTCCTCTTAGAGTTTTACATATATTAGGTAATCTAGGTAATCTTTTTTTTTTTAAGATTTTATTTATTTATTTGACAGAGAGAGATCTCAAGTAGGCAGAGAGGCAGGCGGGGCGGGGTGTGGGGTGCGGTAAGCAGGCTCCCTGCTGAGCAGAGAGCGTGATGCGGGGCTCGATCCC